TATCTATATATATATTGATTTGTTTATGAACAATTGGTCCTGTAACCATATTCATAGCGTTGTAGTCTTAAATATTCGCTGTATTTCCTGTTTACAGTTGCACATTCACTTACATTTTCCCGTGTGTACACAAGGCGGTTGCACCCTCATCGCAAGGCTTTCACGTTGGCTTTGAATATGTGTATCTCCGAGTACCACCTTTTCTATTTCTATCTCGTACTATATTAAAAATTGCATATAGTCAAAACCTGCCAAGGCAGCATTTATCAGAGACCAAGCTCTATTAGCATTCACATCCGACCGCTCACTATATATACATGTGCATATACACAGAAACCCTTCGGAGCGATGGCCGGCAATACACCCACTGCCAGCCCTGGACCAATGAGAATGAGAATGGCAGGCGGAGGTATGGGTCAGTCCCAGTTTTCTCTGATGAGAAACAATATGGGCGTTGGTGGCGTCAGTCCTCAAAGCCAGACTGGGCCTAATGGAAGAGTTACCGGACCTGACTGGAGGCAAAACTTCCATATGCAGAGGAGAGAGAAGCTTGTAAATCATTTGTAAGTGGAGTATATCAACGGTTTTAGAAACCCTATACATACCGCAAACCTTAAACTTCAACCCTTATAAGGTGGAGATGGTGTTGATTTTTTTTTGGGATTGTGTGCTAGTTCTATATGGATGTACATGTCAAACACATACGTATGCGTTTTAGGCTACGTTTGCGAGTGTATATAGATCTGGAGGAATGACAAATACTCGTTTATGACTTACAAATGAATACATCTATATTTTACTGTAGATGCATGAACATCTATACCATATTCACATTTACAGTTTCCGGCTTAAATTACACATGCATGAATTCATAATCGGGTTTAAAATTCTTGTATTATGTGTATGTACGAGTGTGGTGGAACACAAGTAGTGATTTAGTTTACAATTGAGGCATACGCGCGCATCCACATACGTAGACGTGTACTGATGTAAATCTATACGTTATTATTAGACCATAGGCGTGTACTGATGTAAATCTATACGTTATTATTAGAACATAGACGTGTACTGATGTAAATCTATACTTTTTTATTAGAACATAGTTGTGACTGACGTAAATCTATACGTTTTTATTAGAACATAGACGACGTGTATTGATGTATTTCTATACGTTTTTATTAGAACATAGATGTGACTGATGTAATCTATACGTTATTATTAGAACATAGACGTGTACTGATGTAAATCTATACTTTTTTATTAGAACATAGTTGTAACTGATGTAAATCTATACGTTTTTATTAGAACATAGACGTGTACTGATGTAAATCTATACGTTTTTATTAGAACATAGACGTGACTGATGTAAATCTATACGTCTTTATTAGAAACGCACCCTCCACAAATGTTTTGTCGCCAGAGCTTAAAGCAGACGGTAGTTGCAAAGTATGCTCAGTTATGTATGAATAATCGTGCGTATACATAGTATGTCTATCAATCTCGTAAGACTATTGAGGGTTCTTTGCCTATCGAGGCTTATCACTATATTTTGTTATATTTACTTATGTGCTTGAGTATACATATATTGTATAGGTAGTTTGTTAACTTAGAAGTTTGTATAAGAAAACACATAAATGCACCTAACAAACCAAGTTTATAAATTCTAACAGTTAAATCTAGTTTCACATGCTTATATATTCTGGATTGTGTATGCGTACCCACATAAATACACAGATATATAATGATATATAAACATCATCCTCACATCATCTTCTAATCCCGTCCACCACAGAGCCGAATCTCTATCCGCCTTAACATCGCGCATCAACTTCGAGTCGAGTAGCACACCGCAAGAACTGAGAGATGTAGCCATTCGCATGGAAGAACAAGAGTTCAACCGTGCTGAGACGGAAGAACAGTACATTGAGCTTCTGGCTGAGAAAATATACAAGGTCAACAAGGCACAACAGGGCGCAGGGAATATGCCACCCATGCAGGGTATGGGCGCTGGTGGCAATATGAACCAGAACGCCGGTGCCAACGGACAGCCGGGCTGGATGGGGCAGGGGCCCAGGCCACCGACTGGTATGCTACTGCTTAGAACGATATTTGTTTGAGGATAACTACTCAACTATATCACTATGGGTTGTGGTAGACGCCTTTCTTTTCACTTACTTATATTTTCCGTATATATCTTTGTGCGTGGTATGGAGGATGCGTCACTTTGTGCATGCACACGTGTTTTTGTGGACAGTTCCTTCTTCCTGCTACTGGTTACTGTATAATTGTATGGCGATGTATAATGTTTATCATAGTTTACATATTTTGCACGGGCCGCAGGCCGCTGGCTATTGGTGGGGATTTGCTGCTTATTTATCTGATAGTTGTGTCGAATTGGGTGACTATCGGACGTGTACCTGCATAAGGATACAACACACCTGCATAAGGATACAACACAAGACGCTATCAATGTCGCACTCAAACTTAGACTGGACAGTAACCATACTATCGCATTACACAGTTAGTTGTGACGGCCAGTAATTATCAAGATAGCACGCATTGGTTCTATGTAGTACTGGCTTATCTATATACACAAGAATATATATATATATATATATATATATATATATATATATATACTATTATTTATTATTACTTATTTATTATTATTATTACTTATAT